TAATACCAGAAGTCGATAGATCGGATGTCAGGAAACTGATGGGATTCTGTGGGGTATGCCGATGTCAAACCCCTTCTTGTTTTCCCTCTTTCCAAGACGCTTGAAGCTTACAGTTAAGATCAGTTAAGACTGTTGGAATTCTCTTTTCCCCACCTGCCAGGTGAGGGTTGTTAGATTTTATCAGAGCTGTCCTTCTCCTCCTCGGCTAGCTCTTCTCCTCCTCCTCTTCCTCCTCCTCCTCTTCCTCCTCCTTCTCCTCCTCCTCCTCCTTCTCCTCCGCCTGTTTCGCCTCGACCATGTCTGCATCAACTTCCACCTCAACTTCCGCCTTGCCAACTCTTCGCCAAGCTCTTCGCCAACTTCCAAGCTCAGCGTGCACCGCTGGACCTCAACCTGGGACCTGCCCAGCTCAGTGTGCACCGCTGGACCTCAACCTGGACCTGCCCAGCTCAGTGTGCACCGCTGGACCTCAACGGCCAGATAGAATGCCAGGAGATATGCCAGATAGAAAGCTATAAGGTATGCCAGATAGAATGCCAGAAGATATGCCAGATAGAATGCCAGATAATATGTCAGATAGAATGCCAGAAGATATGCCAGATAAAGTGCCAGAATGTTTGCCAGATAGAATGCCAGAAGATTTGCCAGATAATATGCCAGAAGATATGCCAGATAGAATGCCAGATAGAATGCCGGAAGATATGCCAGAACATATGCCAGAAGATATGCCAGGTAGAATGCCGGAAGATATGCCACATAGAATGCCAGATAGAATGCCAGAAGGTATGCCAGATAAAGTGCCAGAATGTTTGCCAGATAGAATGCCAGAAGATTTGCCAGATAATATGCCAGAAGATATGCCAGATAGAATGCCAGAAGAAATGCCAGAACATATGCCAGAAGATATGCCAGGTAGAATGCCAGAAGATATGCCAGATAGAATGCCAGAAGATATGCCAGATAGAATGCCAGAAGGTATGCCAGATAGAATGCCCGATATAATGTCAGATAGAATGCCAGAAGATTTGCCAGTAACAAAATGTATAAATGTCATGGTGGGGATCACACGAAGTAAAGTAATTGTTTTTAAACTCAGAGTTCTTATTTCGTCAATTCCCATTGTTGCTGGATTTTTATCGTGTGGAGCAATTTGTTGAATGCAACATTTACTTGCTGCTTCCACTCCTAGTTTTGCTGCTTTCAATCCCCGTTCCAACTGCATTACCCTATCGTTTGGTTGAAGGTCCTTAAAAACAAAGTTTATTTTGAATTATTCTTCAATTCCGATTTATAATCGGCATATCTTGCTATTTCAGTTCCCAGTTTTTCTTTCAATCAATTTCTTGATGGTTGGAACCAAAATCAGGTCAGCATGTCTGGCAATGACATCTTGCAGTGCCGCGACTTTGGGGAACAGGACCCGTGCCGCGGTGGCGGGGCGCGAGGGTACAGGGCTGAAAAAGCCAAGGGGGTGGCTCATGATTTTGTTCATTTGAAACAACAAAAACATGGGACTATTTTTGGCCAAAAAAATTGGCTTGACTACTCAAATGATTTGTTTTCTTAGCATTATTTTTGTTGGACCCGGAAACATGGGTTTCACAACGGTCAGGGCTAAATCACTCCGGGGCTCGTAACTTTGGGGAGGACAGTCGTGCAGTTTGGGCATGTGGGAATTCATCGAATTTCAGGCTTAGCAGACACGGCACGAAACCGAAACTCCCACGTCAGAGCTGTTGAACTTGAGCCTTGCCCAAATAGCGTTTAGGAGTCTTGTGAAATTGAAAACATTTTTTCTTGGTCAAACTAGCAGCATGTTCTTGATAAAATGATGAGATTCAATGGAAATGCTAACCAACGTTCAATAGCCTCTGGTTCTGACATGTTCTGATGAACAGTTTGCGAATTGGAAACCATGGCCCAAATAAAGTTCGATGATAAAAGATGATGTTTTACCGAAAAAAACGGTGATTTTGCATAGCAATCCATGAGTGATTTGGTGGTTGGCCGGTTGGCTGCAAATCTTGGCGCCCGACTGGCCGATCCCCAAACTGCTTGGTGGTTGATGTGACATGATGTGACTGGTTTTTTTTAACCATTGGCAATTGGTTTTTATGCGATATTCATGAGGATATTCATGGGGATACGTTCAATACGTAGATCTTCATCAAAAGTTGGATTGGATCATATAAGCCAATTCTGGGGGGATGGTCAATGATGGCATTTTTTTCCACCGGGATTGATATTTTCCCATTAGAAGGAACCCCTTTTTTCCATGGTGGAATGGCCATGGGTCCCATGATCTTTTGACCATGGCACAGATGATTGGTAAACTTCGGTGGACATACCCGGCCTGGTAAACATACAAAAAGCTATTGAAAATGGCCATAGAAATAGTGGATTTTCCCATGAAAAATGGTGGATCTTTCCATTGCTATGTGAAAGTTCACCAGAGGGTATCTTTTCCTCGTGGGTGCCAATTTGAAGCATCACCTTCCAGACATTGTTTGAATTGAATTGACCTTCATCTTTCCCCTTTCCACTCTTCCGACATGTGCAGCGAGTGAGCAACTCATGGATTGGCAGGACTTAGTCAGCTACACACTTTCGTTCTTCAACACAGGTTGCCCTGTTTCTTGGAGATTTGTCTATAGCAGATGCTTACAGTACCCGGCCGGGTAAACATTTACAAAAAATGATGGAAAACCACCATTTTGAATGGGTAAAATTGGGTAAATCAACTATTTCGACTGGGCCATTTTCCATAGCTATGTTGGTTTACCAGAGGGTACTTTTTTAGGAACAATGTCATAGTTGGACCTTTCCATTCTAAAGGCGATCATGGCAACCAACCAAGACGTGAGGCGTGCCGCGGATTTGGACTCTTGACAAACATCCTTGCAGGGTTGTCAAACTCATGTCGTCGAGTCATCGTCCTCCTCCTTCTCATTCAAATCAATTCAATTTACCCTCTGGTAAACTAACATAGCTATTGAAAATGGCCATTTATAGTATAGTGAATGTTCCCATTTTGAACATGGTGATTTTCCAGTTCGTTAGGTAACAAATAACCAGAGGGTATTTCACTTCACTTCAACTTCAATTCATGAAATTCAATCCAATCTTTGTTGGACATTGCACTCCATCAGATGAATAAACATGCGCCGTAGGTCAAAGTCCCATGCCCCCGTTTGCCACAGATTGGGTCGTCATTTTTTGAAGTACTGGACAATCGATGCGAAAAACCATTTTTGAGCTTTGACTTACCATGCTACCCATATTCCCAATCAACTCCATTAACCTCTCACTGAGACTGACTAATCAATATGCGTTCGGCGAGACAAATCCCACAGTTGTGTGCGTTACAAGGTAGCCCATTCCTAGGGGTGGGAACTCCATTTGCGATTTGTTTCAGTCAAATCCCACACATTTATGCAGACCGATCTCATACCGTCCCACAAAGTGGGGTTGGGGGTGGGGTGGGGTGGGGTATTAACGTTCATGTACATGTTCATACATCATCGACTTTAATATCACATCTATCTATCTTTGACGATACGTCAGCTACGTTGGGGGTGGGTGGGGTGGGGTGGGGTAGTTACGTTCATGGGTGGGGTGGGATGAAATCAGAGATTCCAGACAATGTGGCTTCCCTATCCGCAAGGGCAAACGAAATGTCTCACCAATGCCGCTGAGAAAACAGCCATAGGTCGGACCTGTTCAAAAAGACAGGGATGGCCATGCGCACGTTGATGACCTAAGCAACGTCCTGTTTTAAACGGCAGAATTTTTCCATCGCTCCCTTTTGAGACATAAACTCCTGTATATGGGTTATCGAATGCGAAAAAAATCGAACACTTTTTACATCACATTTTTTTACACACAATTTCATAGTATTTCATAGTATTTACACACTTTTTCATAGTATTTTTTACACTTTTTACACAATGTAATAGTATTTCGTGGCGTGAAACGCTGATTTGGCAATAAGATCCGCCTGGACGGTGAAAGATCCGCCGGGACGTTGATTATTCCAAATTCTTCTATGATAATTCTCATGTATTTGCTGGATTTGTCCAAACATGGGGGATTCCCAAATTAAATAAATAATATATATATATAATGTATTTATATAGGTATATATACACATAATATATATATATATATACATAAATTAGATATATATATACATATAAATAATGTCAAGTTAGGATTAATAAACCCCGCGGTATTAATCAACCCCCTCTGCCCCCCCAAAAAATGTAATTTTAAAAGGTGGTCCCCCAAGATTAATACACCCCCCCGATTAAAAAAACCACCAGTGCTGAAATCCATTTTTTTATCCAACAATTTTATTTCCAATTCTTTTTATTTCCAATTATTTTTTACACGTTTTTTTTTAATCATCATTGTTATACTTAAGGTTTAAGTTGATCATTGAAGATTTCAATAAACAACTATTCCCCAAATGATCGATTTCTAATTCAAATCTTTATAAAAATCATCAGTTTGGATAGCTCCCAAAGGGTACCCCCCATGAGCCCATGTCCCCCATTAATAATAACCAGGGTTTGCATGCACCTGATTAATCAACCACCTTTCTGAACCATGAGATTTTAAAAAATCCAATAGAATTCTATTAAGATCTAATTGACTCAAGCCATATCCAAATTTTTATGGTTCAGAGTTGCTTATTATTAAGGGGGGTTTAAGAAACTGACCTACAAGGTAGAGTTCTGACCTTCTTGGGGGGGGTTGATTAATCCGATGTTGGCATTATATATATATATATATACACATATAATATATAATATATAATGTATATATATATATAAGTAATATATATATAATACAGTCATAAAGGGACAATGAATTTCGAAACGATAAACATTTATGGGACTTGGTGGGTTTTCCCATCATTTCCGGCTTTGAACTGCTGAGACTGGCTGGAGCAGTTCTTCGGCTGTCTTGGGGAAGGCGTCCAGCGGCTGTAACTTCCAATGGAAATTGGGATCCTCGGTCGAGAGCGAAAAGCCCGTGTCATCCCCATATTTTTTTACCAATTTTCCGGTATAATCCTCAGACATTCCAAGATTAACCCATTATTTGGTGGATTTCCCAATAGGTTTCCAATCGTTGGTCAGATGTCCTATAATCACTATTTCACTACGTATCACAATTTACTTTTTTATTATATCCCATTATATTCACATGAAATGGTTGGTACTGTACATCTCCATTTTGTAACACGCTTATACATTGAATATCCTGCCAGTTTTATGCCTCTTGTGTATCCCATTCCTTTGGGGGATTTAACCACCAAGTTCATGGTAAACCACGAGCCTTTTCTACCGAACGCCCAATTCTTGGATGATGGGCCATCAACCCATTTTCAGGATGATTTATGTGGATTAATACTTGGAATACCCTCTGGTAAACTAACATAAGTATGGAAAATCGCAATTTTTCATGGGTAAATCCACTATTTCGACTGTGCCATGGCTTCAATTTCGCAAACTGTAACAAATTACCAGAGGGTAAGTGAAATCACCATCATTAACATTAACCATCATTAACCATTATTAACCATTATTATTCACCATTAATCACCATAAGGGTAAGATATCGTAAGATGGCGTTTTTTCGTATGAATTCTTGGAGCTGAACTAACAGCCAGTGGTGAATCATGACTGAACTTCAGTTGAAATCAATTGACTTTAGGGTCATGCGCCAGGGGCTCCACATAAGAAATGGAGCATTTACTGGGATTTAATGGGATTTAATGGGATTGAATGGGATATATGATGGTTACCCTCTGGTAAACCTACAAAAAGCTATTGAACATGGCCATAGAAATAGTGAGTTTTCCCATTCATAGCATGGTGATTTTCCATAGTCATGTTAGCTTACCAGAGGGTATCTTTTACCACAGTTAAGTAGGGCCGCAATTTTACCCAACTTTCGGTGGTGAATACCATAGTTCTTCCCATGAAAATTACCCCAACTGCATAGAACCCCCCACATAGATACCCTCAGATAGACAAACTGGACACCTGGAAATGGTGGCGAAAACATCATCAAATGAACATACTGAAAGCACTTTTCGGCACCTTTTTGGGGGTTACTATATCCAAAAAAACATTCATAGTTACCCATGTAACTTGACCATGGCGCCATGGCGCATTAAGTCATACACCATTATCTGGAACATTGGTTTAGTATGGGATAATGATGGTTAATGATCGTTAATGATGGTTAACTATGTCACCTTATTATATCCCATTAACATCCGGGTAACATTCCCATTATAATGCGCCAACCGTCATGAATTTTCTCAGGACCAAAGGCTCAGGCAGGCCGCCATCATTCGAGGGGCCGATTTAGAGGGCAGGGTAAGATTGGTTTGTCACGTTTGTACATGTGTATATTTAGATAAATATGTATAATATATACATATATATGTATATATACGTACTTATTACTTATATACATACATATGTATATATATATGTGCATGTATACATATCTATAATAACACACATATAGGTGTATGTGATATACATACAAACAAACATACATACATAGATACATAGATACATAGATACATAGATACATACATACATAGATACATAGATACATAGATACATAGATACATACATACATACATAGATGCATAGATGCATAGATGCATAGATACATAGATACATAGATAGATACATAGATAGATACATAGATAGATAGATACATAGATAGATACATAGATAGATACATAGATAGATACATAGATACATAGAAATATAGAAACATAGAAACATAGATACATAGATACATAGATACATAGATACATAGATACATAGATACATAGATACATAGATACATACATACATGCATGCATACATACATACATACACACATACACACATACACACATACACACATACACACATACATACATAACATGACATTACATTACATAACATTACATAACATTACATAACATTACATAACATTACATAACATTACATAACATTACATAACATACATACATTACATACATTGCATTACATACATTACATTACATACATTACATTACATACATTACATTACATACATTACATTACATACATTACATACATTACATACATTACATACATTACATACATTACATACATTAATACATACATCCATACATCCATACTTCCATGCATCCATACATCCATACATCCATACATCCATACATCCATCCATCCATCCATCCATCCATCCATCCATACATACATACATACAGACACATACATACATACATACATACATACATACATACATAGATTCATTCATACATTCATACATTCATACATTCATACATACATACATACACACATACACACATACACACATACATACATTCATACATACACATATAACACCATTATTAACCATTATTATTCACCATTAATCACCAGAAGGGTAAGATATGGTAAGATGGCGTCCTGGAAATCCATGGTTTCCCCTAGGAAATGATCGCTGTGAAATCATTGCCAGCTCTTCGAGGGATCAACACATCCAATGGCTGAGCGGGATCGTGTCGTGTTGGGTCCGTTTTCCAACATATTCGGCTTGGTCGAAATTATCAAGATGTTCAGCTTTTGTGAAATCATATGGGTGTGTACTACAGTATCCCAAGAAGGTTATTTTATTGGGAAAAATGGGAAAATCATGAGGGGCCATGCTGGGATACATATTCAGTCCCGCTTTTTAAATGCTTAACACTGGCAAACCAGGGGAACCTTCTAGTTGGCCATAGAAAAAAAAACACATATCTTGGCAGACATGGAGATGTTAACTTGAAGGGTACTGTATCCAAGATTGGCCATGTCCATTCCTTCAACCAATCCATTGCTCTTCATGATTTTTGATTTATGTACTATATATATAATATAGTTATCATCATTTGGCTGGTTTAACTTGTTCAGCCGCCCATTCTTTGGTTCAAACCACTCAATCTCTGAATTGCTTGAGGCAAAACATCAATCAACCCTGCATGTTTAAGTGTAGAAACACCTGCATATATCAGCAAAAAAAACAGTAGTTCTTCCATTTTTCCAATATGTGTCTATTAAAAACATACAAAACATAGTTATTCATTCCATTTTCGCATATTTTCCCTTATTTTCCCGCATTTTCCCATATTTTCCCCCGGAAACGTAGCTATTTTGTAGCCCCAACGATCCACAGGTCCCGTCGTCGCCTGGAGGCCTGCAAGGGCCGGACGAAGAACTGCCGTTGCGACTCCTCCGTGGACGTGGAGGTCATAAGGAACGGCCGGATGAAGGCGGGACAAATCTGTCGGGAAGATTTCGATGGCACATATTATATATATATGGAAAATTTTCCCGAAATGGCCCAGCAATTCAGGTTAGTGAATTATAATAATTTACTCATTTATATTATATATATACCGGTTGGTGGTTTGGAACATGAATTGTCTTTTTCCATATATTGGGACGAATAATCCCAACCAGTGTATATATATATATAGATGGAAAAACCATGAAAACATATTATATTTGTATTAGATACATAATAGTATGGCAAGTATGAGTTTCCATATAAGTATAGATGTTATATGATATTATATGATATTATATATATATATATTGTATTGTATATACATGGAAAATATCATACTTTCCATGCTAATGTTTATGAATAAAATTTCATTCATATTAATATATAGCTAGATGGCATAATGTTGTTTTTTTTTTTTTCTGACGTATAACAGAACATCAATGGAATGTAAACGGAGTATTAATTGAATATTCATGGGATATTCATGGAATATTGGCTAATACAGATACCCTCTGGTAAACTAACATAACTATGGAAAATCACCATTTTATATTGGTAAATCGACTATAAATGGTCATTTTCAATAGCTATGTTAGTTTACCAGAGGGTATCTGTTCATACCCTGCGTTTTTTTTTTTAATGTGGCAAGCTAGGACATCCCCAATAACTGGAGATGGTGGGAAGTTCATCTGGTTAAGGGTGACTGGTTTCCATGGCTGCTTTATGACTTTCCAGAAACAGTTGGGAATGGAATGGAATGTCATCATCCCAACTGACTGACAAACTCCATGATTTTTCAGAGGGGTAGGTGGCTCAACCACCAACCAGCTGGATGGTTTATTTCAAAAATAACATAGCTATGGGCCAGCCATGACCCTAATCGAAATAGATGGTTTACCGAACTGAAAAATGGGTGGATTTTCCAGTTGGCTATGTTAGTCATTTCCAGAGGCTAATATTTTCAGACAAACCCAACTGACGAACTCATATTTGTCAGAGGGGTAGGCTCAACCACCAACCAGCTGGAGATTTTGGTGGGAAGTTCCGTGGAACTGATGACCGGAGGCTATCTATCCGCTACGGCTCTCCGGTGAACGGAACGGTGAGCTGAGCTATGTTTGAATCCTAGAGTTTCCCAAGCACATGATAGTTGGGGATAGAAATTCAACATTTATAGATTTAAATCCTAAGGGTTGAATGTTGAGACGGGATGGTTCACTGGGTTAACTGGGTTAACTGGGGAAGAATGTTTGAGAATATCTGGGAACATCAGCTGAGTTTTTGTGAATTTTTCGATGGGATTGGATCGGAATAACAAACCAATGATGACAGTTAATTCAGGATCATCCCAAAACCAGCCATTTCTATAACCATTTGGATTACCCTCTGGTAATTTAACATAGCTATTGAAAATCACCATTTTATATTGGTAAATCCACTATAAATGGTACATTTTCAATAGCAATGTTAAATTACCAGAGGGTATATAGCCATTAACCAGTATCATCCCAATAATCATTACTATACCTACCCAATCATACTAGTTTCTGATTTGGAAATTATAGTAATGTCAACCCCGGATGAAAACCCATTTCGGAGGGGTTCCTCCGAAATTCCGAAACAGTGATAAGTTGGTACCGAAATTCTTCTGTACCGTCGCGATTCAACACCGTGGTTTAGCAAAATCTGGGGTTGCGAAGGTCTATCACTGCAGCTTGCTCCTGTGGAAAGCCGGCAAAGTCCCAATACATCCAGGTGTTTCATGTACCCAAGCACATGATTTCATTCTTGGTTATCTCATTTTGGTTTGTGTCTAGCTCAGTTTGAGAGTTTTTTTTTAATGATGGTTAGTACAGGGACTCACCTCAACATTGCTTCTGTCCAAAAAAAGTTCAAGCTAGTGTGATTTACAGTTGCCATCCGTTACCTAGATTCAAGTCATCAATTCTATCATCAATCCCATAGGATCCATGGTGCTGGTATATTTACCTACAAAACTGGGTCATTTATGGGGTAAATGTTGGTAAATATTCCAGCACCATGGATCCTATGGGAATTGTAGTCCTGCGAAAAAAAAACGAAAAACGCCACCGGCCGTGGCAGGGCACATTGCTACCGGGCACCAAGATGCACGATGTGGCCGTCTTCTTCTCTGTCCCCTTCGCCGCATACTCCGGCAGGTGGGGTTCCTTAGGGATACCCTAAGGACCGCTGGATGGTTTCCCCAAAAACGGGATACCCCAATGGCTGGTGACATATTCCCATGAATAAATAACTGGAGATGGTGGATAGCTGGATCTGATTGGTGACTGGAATCGGAACCGTGGAATTTTGAATGACTTTCCAGAAACAGTTGGGAATGGAATGGAATGTCATCATCCCAACTGACGAACTCACTCCATCATTTTTCAGAGGGGTAGGCTCAACCACCAACCAGCCAATAGCTGGATGGTTTATTTCAAAAATCCGAAAATAGAATGAATGATCACTGGGGGCCGATGACCTAGGACACCTCTAAGTTTTTTCTACCTGAAATCATTGAAATCTCTGATATCTAAATCGTAAGAAAAAACTCGAAGCTAGAGACCTATCATTTACAGTACTTCCAGAAAGATCCAGGTGATTACTAGCTATTTCAACAGCCATTTACCATCTAAGCTTTCTGCTTCAACGGATGACAGGAAGCCCAATTTCCACATGGGCCTGACCTAAATAAAATGCATCATCTCGAAGATTTCTGAACGAGAGCATTCCCGTACTGTATAAATCCAGTAAATCCCATTAAATTCCATTAAATCATACGATATCCTAGTATAATTTTTTTACACACACACACACATATATATATATGTATATATATATATATGTATATATATATATATGTGTTTTATGAAATTAATTATATATATATAATTATATATATGTGTGTGTGTGTTATGAAACATTGAAATTATATGTATATATATAATTATATATACAAACTAACTACAAACCACAGATTTTATGGGCACTGCATATCCGTGGATGTCAGGTGGAAACATCCTGCGCCCTTGCAGATGCCAAAGACACCCAGATTGGACAAAGCCTCAGACCAGTGCAGCATGCCATGGCTCTACCAGCTACGAACAGGACTTCAACTGGTGATGGGGACATATCATGGGGAGATATTTGTCAAAGGAAGTTGGGAAGCAATCTTCCGAGTTACGGATGAATTTTATTCAAGTGACTTTACATCATATAAAATTCATCACGGAGAAGTGACTTTACATCACATAACAATACATCATGAAGGGTGGTATGAGACTTTACATCACATAAAATTCATCACGGAGAAGTGACTTTACATCACATAACAATACATCATGAAGGGTGGTATGAGACTTTACATCACATAACAATTCATCACGCAGAAGTGACTTTACATCACATAACAATACATCATGAAGGGTGGTATGAGACTTTACATCACATAACAATTCATCACGCAGAAGTGACTTTACATCACATAACAATACATCATGAAGGGTGGTATGAGACTTTACATCACATAACAATTCATCACGCAGAAGTGACTTTACATCACATAACAATACATCATGAAGGGTGGTATGAGACTTTACATCACATAACAATTCATCACGCAGAAGTGACTTTACATCACATAACAATACATCATGAAGGGTGGTATGAGACTTTACATCACATAACAATTCATCACGCAGAAGTGACTTTACATCACATAACAATACATCATGAAGGGTGGTATGAGACTTTACATCACATAACAATTCATCACGCAGAAGTGACTTTACATCACATAACAATACATCATGAAGGGTGGTATGAGACTTTACACCACATAACAATTCATCACGCAGGGTGGTGGTGTGAGACTTTACATCACATAACAATACATCATGAAGGGTGGTATGAGACTTTACACCACATAACAATTCATCACGCAGGGTGGTGGTGTGAGACTTTGCATCACATAACGATACATAGGAACGTGGTCACTTAGCAAAGTGGTGACTAAGGGAAGTGGCGACGAAGGGAACATGGTGACTCAGGGAAGTGATGACTGAGGGAAGTGGTGACCAGGGGAAGTGGTGACGAAGGGAAGTGGTAGGGAAGTGGTAGGGAAGCGATAGGGAAGCGATCGGGAAGCGAAGGGATTGCATGAATGTTGCAGGAGCTCGCAGTGGAATGGCTGCATGAGTGTTGGGGGGTTGGGGGCTTGTGTTGGGGAGGAAGCTGGAGCACGAAACCTTGTGTTTTTCCGTGTAAAGTGGCTGCAGGCAGCGATGAAGGGCACCTCGTGTGTGAGGCAGTTGCGGGTACGCTCGTTTTGATGTTTTTGGTTCTCCCTTGGTGTTCTGCACTTTGCGTGTCTTCGTGTGTGTGTAGCTCTTTGCGGTTGTGGGATCCCTGGTTGCAGCTCGCATTGTAGTGGATGCATGAATGTTGCATGGGGCTTGTGTTGGGGAGGAAGCCGAAGCACGAAACCTTGTGTTTTTCTGTATAAAGTGGCTGCAGGCGGCGATGAAGGGCAGCTCGTGTGTGAGGCAGTTGCGGGTACGTTCGTTCTAACGTTTTTTTTTGCCGCACTGTAGCTGTGGCTTCAAGCTGCTTTGGGTGTGTTTGTGTGTGTGTAGTTCTATGCGTTTGTGGAATCTCTGGTTGTAGATTGCATTGGAATGCCTGCATGATTGTTGTCATCTTGTGTTGCCACGTGCGTAGATACATGGGGGTTTGCCACGTGATGCTGCAAAACGCATTGTAATGGCTGCATGAATGTTGCATGGGCGTGGTACAAAGTAGTACTGGGAAATGCTTTGTGCAAGCTTTGTGGTACAAAGTATTTTGCAAAGACTCTTCTGTGTAAATGCATCTGTGTCTCAAGCTTTCTGACGCGCAGAAGAGCCGAGATGAGTTGAGACTAGCTTCGGTGAGATGGGAAAGGTTGAGCTGTGCTCAGGTGAAATGAAAATAGTCAAGAAGAACTTCCTGCTCAAAAATATTTTTAACTTGTTTAGAACTGGTCACCTGGGCTGGGTAATATGCTTCGATACAGCAACCTCGGCAAATCCATTCCATTGAAATATGAACTAAGCAACCAGATACAAACAACGAACAGTTGAAGGATAAGATTGGCACGGTAAATTGGCACTTCAATCGGGTTGGCCACATTCCATATAGACCTTATCTACATATAAATTATTACTATATGTACGGATATTTGAGGGTTATTAACCTAAACTACTGGGTTTATTGGACATTCCTTCAGTTGCAAGGAACCACGGACTCCATCCACCGCGGAAGCTTTTGCTTCCAGTGGTTGCCGGCGCTTGGGCGCTTTGGCATGGAGAGTTGTCTGACCTTAGACGTGTGCCCTGGTCGCACGCGAGCGCAGGGTGGAAGTCCTGATTTTTGTGATGGGGGCTTCTTCAGTACACAACAAGAAATTGGGTACCAATGAGAAAACATAGGGACATACTGTGGATGGTTGCGAAATCTTGCACCACCAAAAGGATGGTTGAAACCCGATAAATCCTGAGTTAAACCGTCTACCAACTGGTGCAGGATTTCTTGCATCCACAGTAGGGGTATCAATAGATGTTCAGATGAAATGGGGATAAGTAGGGGTATAACCGACAGAACATGAGAAAAGTCTGAAAAGTTCAATGTTTTTGATGGTTTCCCAGAAGTTAATAGACCAACAATAGAGACAGTATTCACTTTTTCTCGTTTACATAATTCCACGAAGTCCAGTGCTAGCATCAATGGTCACCTGAATCAGGACCGAACCATGACCGAGCAAATGCAATGATGGTAGATGTAGGGGTCCATTAATCATCTCCAAAATGGCCAGAGTTCAAATACAACCCACCATTAAACCATAAATCTAGTGATTTTAACTGAAGGTACTCCATATACCATCTGGCAACGTGGCTGGCCGAAAGTCGCCGAACTAAATGATTCTTTTTATGGGAAATCCTCGGCCATGTTTGATTACCAGAGGGTATTAACAAATATTCCATCAATGGGTCGATTGACTCACCATTGATGGACCGTAGCTTTCTGGGCTAGCTCAATCCGCATGAACGCCCCTCGTCCTTTAGCACTCGGAGCTGCCGGGTGATCCTTGGGTACTACGGTGCTGGGCTTGCTCTCCCAGATCATCTTTCAGGACAGGTTGCCAGATCCAGTTTGCTTCTGCCCTGAACTTACACCTATTTCTGAGATCACTCTTCCTGAGTTGGACTATCAGCATTGGATCTTCTTTGCGATTGGAATCTTCACTGGCCTTTGCTTTGGGGCGCTTCTGCATATTTGCTTTGTGGTCAGAGAACGGTGGCGGCGATTTGTCCTTGCTCAGTTGATCGAACACTCTTCCTCCAGTTCCGGGGCACCTCGGGAGCGCCATTTTTGTTGACTTGCCTTCGCACAAGAAAGATCGTGTAGTCGTTCCTTCGGTCAGGCTTTTGACTTCCCACTGCTTGATAGATGGCTGAAGAAGAAGAAGAAGAAGAAGAAGAAGAAGAAGCGGCTGCTGAAGTGGTTGCAGCCAGAGAAAAGGTAGTCCTGAGGGGGTCTACCTTTGATACCCATTTTGAGGTTGGCCAGATTCCAGTGGCTGGCGGTGTTTCTTTTAGCTCGATCATTTTGGTCGGAGAATTAGATCCAAGACTGGTGGTCTGCTTGCCCTTAGCAGTTTGGAACGGGAAAGTCGCACAGAGACTGTTTCCCAGCAAGGGGTTGCTGAAGCCAGTAGCATGTTCTTTGGCTTGCTGCGACGTGGGGAGCAGGGAGCCAATCGATGGAGATATTACAGTTCGAGCATGGTTCGGCTTTTTGAGCACCGGTTTGGAGGAGACCATCAATTTTGGAAGAGAAGAAGGCCCAGACCACATGTTTGAGGTTGGAGGCCTGGGGGAGCTAAATATACCAGCAAACAGCACACGATGGATAGTAAATCCATACCCGGAGAATGATCCCACTTAATAACTGGTCAATAACCCTAGTAAGTCCCATTTCGTGGGCTTATCCCATTTATTGGGTTGGAACCCCACGAAGTCGGAATTTGATACCTGGGATCCTGCAATCCCATCCCCTTCAACCCCGACCCCACCAACCATGACCGCAACGGGTCATAAACATCATCCCCTTGTGATAATGGTATTATAATACCATGGTATATTTTTCCCATGGTATTATCCAATGGTATATTTTTCCCGTTTTTTTCCCATGGTATTATCCAATAATAAAACCTCACTGGCCCCGGGGATGGTCACACGTCAGATCGGGACCCGCTGATCCAAAGCTCACGTGGCATCAAAAAATGGGAAAACACGGCCAGAAAAATCAATGCCTGCCGAACTTCCCTGGAATCATTGTTTTTTTTTTCTAGCGCCCAGCAATGTAACCTGATATACGACTACAGCATACCACCTACTACTCGTACCATCCATTCACCAAAAGCATGTGCAGGTATACACCTGCCGTTGCAAAGTTGCCAGGTGCCTGGATTTTTTGGGTGCAACAACCGCCCATTTTATTGGGTGCAAGAACTTGTTGCCATTAATGATGGAATGTAGCTGATAAGTATGTTTGATGGGTTATATAATCGATAATCCATAATTATCATACTATAGTTGATCTTATATAATCGAGAATCTATATTTAATTGATAATCCATAATCCATATAATCGATAGTCCTACTATGGTTGATTGGTTATATAACCCATAGTAGGACTACTAACCAACCATAATCACTCATACCAGCTGGAAGACCTGCTGTTAATTCACATAAATAGATATGGAACATCAATCCTGAAAGTAGATCATTGGAAAAACATGGATTTTCCATATCTGTTACCTAGTTCCCCTAAGGCAACATTTGCTAAGGTTTTAGGTGTCCTTGAAGTTGCTTGGAACCTATTGGAACCAATGACCCTTTGGATTGGGGGAGAAATCCCATGACATCACTGTGACATCACCATGGAACAATCCCTTTTTTCGTCACCTGCGAAAAAACAACACATATATATATAATATAAATATACTTTGGGGTGGAGAGTCCATGAACCATTTTATATTTTATAGACTATTTTCATCTATGTTCCTATATGTTCCAGCCACAATGGAGGTTTCCCATTGCCAGGGGATTGGTCACCTTTTTGATTAGCGTCGTTTCCTGCGGGACGACTGCAGCAAAATCTGTAGATTCTGTGGTTCCGGAAGTATGGCCAATGGGATGGATCCGCACGAAATTTTCCGATGCTACATGTGTCAAATATCATATATATGTAAAAAAATACAACTATCCTCAAACAAATTAATTATGGTATGCAATATTTTTTCAAACATATCCTACAATATATAATATACATTAATATACAGTCATAAGATGCATCATAAAATTATAAAACTATAATGTACAATAATCATGTATATTTTGGAATATGGTACAATATCCCCAAACCCATCAATCCATCTCCCACCCTTGTCATGCGTCATGCGTCATACGCAGGATCCGGGTCTTCGCCGTTACGTTTACGCAGCAATGCCTCGTTACCGGTGATGGTCTTTATCGAAGGGGGCGGCTTTTTGGTGCCTTGACGGCCTCGACAACGGTGGGTTCGTGGCTATCGTGGCTGTGATCGGTGGGTTCGTGAAGTTCTTATCATTTCATAGGGATTAAGGCACCCATAGCTATCATTTTATAGGGATTTATGATTTTAAGCATCAAAATAGGGGGTTTAAGCGATTGAATAGGGCGTTTCCCATCATTTCATAGGGATTTTAACCATCAAAGGCAAAATGTGGGAATGTATTCAATATATTGGGTATAGTTGATAAATGATGGTTGGTTGATGGTTAGTTCGTTATCGTACCCTTGATATACCGGGCATTATCATGATCCAATATGGGAAACCCTATTGATCAAGTAGGATTAAATGGAGTTACATAGTTCTTTAATAGTATTGATCATTGAATTACATAATCCACTGGGATTTTCATCACTTATACACCCTATTGATCAGCTCTGGAAGCGGTGTTCTTTCCCAGAGTGGAGCGGTTCGCTTTCTCTCACGGGGTGATTTCTGGGTGTTTTTTTGTGATGAAAATCCAGTTGAATCGGGGCGGCGCCCTGTTTTCAGACAAACCGTTATATTACAGTAATCCCGAAAAACATTAGAAACAAGTTGAACTATTTGCAACTACCCTCTGGTAAACTAACATAAGGAAAACCACCATTTTTAATGGGTAAACTTTTTAATGGGTGTTGTTTTTCTGAAAACAGGGATTACTGTAATATGTTGTTCTCTATTTTTATCCTATTTTAGACATGTTGTTGTTTTGCATGTTTCTATCTTGTTTGTTGGTGAGATTCTATAACATTATGGTCGATGGGGGAAGGGCTGGTTTCTTGACCTTTAGTATCCACGTTTGATTGGTGGAGGGAGTGCCTATTGGTCAGAAGTCATTTACAAATCATCAATGCTGGGGTTGTATTAAGTAATTTAGGAGAGACAATACATGGTTCGAATGATGGTTACATTGCGGGACTTGAACCATCAAACATGAAACATGGAGACAATTTACCTTCAAAACCTTTCAGGGCGCAATCCATCAATGGTGCTTGGTTGGTGGTTCTGTCTCGATGCTTTAAATGGGGATTGTGGATGAATCGGAGGACTATTGCAGCTGTGTGTCATTGGTGGTGTGATAAACACACCAGTTGTTGGTTTACTGGGTGTTTTCTTGTTCTATTTGGTCGTGTCTAGCCAAGCGACGAGTACGTAAAGACCATGGTAAAGACTATGAAGGCGAGGTCTACGCAAAGATGAACAACCATTTCTAGTACCATGACCCGATTCAAAACCCGTTCCAAATGGCTCCCAATATGATGAGATCCGCTACTTTCCAGCAAGTTTTCTGGGGTTCCCAGCATGATATGATCCCCTTGAAGATCCCCTCCAGGAAATTGGTTGGTGGTCCCAGATATGAGGGATTTACCAAAATTTACCATGGATCATCATGGGTCCTTACCAACAATGGGGAACCACCATCACTTGGGGGGGATATATAAGGAGATATATATATATACAGATGTATACCCAGTACTGGTCGCTGGTTTTAGCTGTATATCAAGGCTAAGAGAGATTTGAAATGATCTTACATGCCCAACTTTAGTTGGAAATCAACTTGGAGGATCATCTCAGTTGGAAATTGGCTTCATAGCCCTGGTTTTTGGTCGGTCCCCGATTCCTTTTTTTGGCTTCTCCCCATGATAACTCGATCCCATGAACACTAACCACTTAGGATTGAAGGAAAATCTACACTCTGGGTTATGACTAACATAGCCATGGGAAATGGCCCATTTATAGATGGTTTACCTATTAAAAATGGTGATTTTCCATGGCTATGTTAAATAACCAGATGGTACCATTTACAGATGTGTTTTTCCATTAAAACTTAAATAACTTAAATTCATAGGGGATTTCCATGGATTTCCTTTTCAGTAACGGAAATGATCCTCCAAAATCCTCCAAATACCACTACATTCTAGCAAGTTCCAGTTCCACTTGATAACTCGTCACCAAAATTCTGCAGGTGGGTGATAAGTACCAACAGGGCATCTACGATGGAAGGAAGCTGGTGGACAAGCAAAATGTGGTGCTGGTGAATATCAACTACAGGCCTCATCCTTGGCTGCAAGTGTTGATGTTTCATGGTTTTAATATGGGTTAATAGTGGTTAGGAATACATGGGTGTGTCTGAAAATAGTGTACCCCTAAACCCAATGGTTAATGATCATTATCCCTATTAAATGGCTATTAACTATGGGAATATACCCTATTTTCAGACAAACCCACATTGAACATGCAACAAATGAGTCTGTTGCCTTGCGCCACTTAGCGCCACTTAGCGTGTTCTGCACCTCGCCGGTTGGAATTCGGGCTAGGAGCTGGAAATTCATCGGCTCCAAAGAAACGGGCGAAACAAAGAAACGGATACTGCTTGGTGGTTTGAAACATTTTTTCTATTTTTCCCTAATATATTGGGAATGTCATCATCCCAACTGACTACCATCTGGTTATTTAACAGTTAGCCATGGAAAGATCCACCCATTTTTTATAGGTAAACCATCTATTTCTATGGGCCATCTATCCTATGGCTATGTTAGTCATAACCAGAGGGTAATATTTTTCAGAGGGGTTCAAACCACCAACCAGGATATAAAGGGCATCTGCAAGGCCTTGGCCTTTGGGAGCTGAAAAAATCCCGGAATCCAGAGCTGAGCCATAAAAAAGGGGGCCACGTGGATCATCGAACATGACGTAGAAAGAGTCAGACACCGGGCTTCATGGGGTGGATATACCGATATACCCTCTGGTAATTTAACATAACTATGGAAAATAACCATTTTTAATGGGAAAACTCACTATAAATGGCCATTTTCAATAGTTATGTTAAATTACCAGAGGGTACCCTCTAGTAAACAAACATAGCTATTGAAAATGGCCATAGAAATAGTTGATTTATGTTGATTTACCCATTAAAAATGGTGAGTTTCCATAGGTTTTGTATGTTTACCAGAGGGTAACCCATGGCAATCAGTCCCAAAAGGTTGGGAGAAATATATCCAATTCTGGCTGAAACTGCAACCAATCCGGCCCGATCTTTGATCGCAACATCTGTTAAAAATCTTTGGTGAAATGAATAGAACCTGTTCAGATTTTTATGACACTGTGTAATAATTCATCCATCCAAAACAAGTGTTTCTGACAAACCATTGGTTTCCGCATGCGAAATGACAAAGATACCAGGACCCTCCAATGATACATTTATTTGTGTATCGTCTTTTTTGCTCTTGAAGAAAACTGCTCCTTTGCAGAGAAAATGCTCCAGGGGTTTCATTCCTTCCCCATTGTCAGTTGAGCATCAAAGCGAAGAAATCATGTTTCCAGTCGAGCTGGGGTAGCCAAGAGAAAATAGGTCGAACGAGCTGGAAAATTGCTATGAGAAATTTGCGCTACGAGCTGGAAACAGATGGAAAAAGTAGATCGAATTGTCGATTTCTGTATCGAATGACGAAAAGGGGGCAACGTTGGGAAACTGACGATCAACTTTCAAATTTTGAGGCACCCCTACTTTTACCAAAACACACATATAATACGATACATATATATATATATCTATTATGTTATTATAATATATTATACATATCAAATACATGTGTATATATATATATTATATATACATCTAAAGTACTATATATATATTAATACGTTATACGACCTACAGGACACGATATCCTAATAACCAATCTTGTACCTCCTGAAATCTGGATTACACCTTAGCTCACTTCCCAGTTGCTGAAGGGTCTCGTCATGTCCTGAAGAGGCTCGGTGTCTTGGGCTTTTTGCATCATCCGTACCTTCGCGACAAGGACGGTTTCGCGGCCGGACGTACCCATGAAGAGTTCGATGATTGACTCATGAAAAGTATATATATAGTATATATATATATAGTATATATATATAGTATATATATAGTATATATATAGTACATATATATATATAGCATGTGATAGTATGTGATAGTATGTGATAGTATGGTTTTCCAGTTTGCAAACTTACCAAAGTTTACCAGAAGGTAGCTGGGTATTCCATTGATTCCTGGGTTGGATGGGAAAATCTGCGGGAGTCGGCCGAAGGTTTGAAGGTAAAAAGCCATGGATTTAACCAGAGTTTTACCCTCGAACCGATCTACTGCAACTATGTGAATACAGTATATCCATATATATATATATATCCATTATACCCTCTGGTAAACTAACATAGCTATGGAAAATCACCATTTGTAATGGGTAAATCAACTATTTCGACTGGGCCATTTTCAATAGCAAACTGTTAGTTTACCAGGCCGGGTAAGTCCATAAGTTCCAAAATGTGATGAAACTTACAACCAAGGTGGTGCCACCCCAATTATAAGTTAGTTTATAACCCCCATGAACTTATAGTGGGATAACCTTTGGTTATAACTTATACTATATTTAATGGGATAACATGGGATATCTAATGGGATAATATCTAATGGGTTAACTTATAGTTTATAACTATACTATAGTTATATCTACTATATCCCATAGTGACATTGGAGTTATTTGCACCAACTTAGCTAACGAACTGGGGCACCACCTTGAATCAACAGAAAGCTCTCAAACTCGGGCCCGACATGCGCATGGTGTGAACCAGGAGTCAGGTGAAGAGTTGATGAATTTCGGCCTGCGCGATCAACTTGAAGCTCTTCGCTGGATACAAGAGCGCCTTGGCCGCTGATGCTTAGAATAGGAAGAACCCTTCATTTTTTTATAAACCATGTACTCTCTGGTTAATAATAGTTAGTGATGGTTAATACTAGTTAACAATAGTTAATAATTAGTCATAGTTTATTAGTTGATACTAGTAGATAATAGTTAATAATGGAAAATGAATCATAACAATGGGAATATCATGTGACATGGTGATTTTACTCTCAACAATTGTTACTTAATGGAACTATCATGAGAATATACCACCTGATACTTTCACACAGCTATGGAAGTCATGGCCCATTTAGTTCGATGATTTACCTCTCAAAAAAGTCTGAT